ATCTCAGGCTTACTGGGACTTGGCACACAAAGGAAGACTCCCCAGTAACTGAACTAAGCCCCTGTGAAACCTCTCCTCTGCTTATCTCTCTAGAAGTGCAAACAAGGAAATAGTGCTAAATAAACGTCCACATCTGAGAACTGTGATTTCATTGATAACAAACCAGGTATTGCTCCATTGCTCACTGTTTCCACTGCAGAACTGTCCTGCCCTCGCTCCTGCAGCCCTGGACCACAACTGCTGTCGCTCCTTACAGAAAAGAAAGTCAAGGGGCCTCTCAAAACGTTTGTCAGAACATCTCTTGGCTTAGTAGTGGAACAGACTTAAAGCACTTTGCCTGGAGCAATCTTCCAGGTCAGCAGCCTGAAAGGTTCTGGGTTAAGGCATTTTTTGAGAGCTCTCTCTTGCAGGTAGCCTACGAATACGGCTTTCCACTTGAATATGCTGTTGGTCAGTGATGGTAAGAAGAAAGCTTTAGCATAATTAGGCAGCTATGATGTCTGGCATCACAGCCTTCGCAGCACAGAACGTGTTGGCCCATTTTGGTACCACAGCCACCTTTCAATGGATTCAAAAGGACCAAGCAGAGGCAGTTCAGACTTGAGAAGGAGCTGACCCCTACACAGGCAAATAAATTGCACGGCTTTGTCTCAGTAGGTGGCAGATGCTAGAAGTGACCACTGCTTCAGAAAGCAACTGTACAAAAGCTCTCCGTTCAGACCTTTTCCAAATGCAAGTGTGGTTTTGAATTGACAGGGCTGATTCTTATCTCAGAGATCTTCAGAAGAATGCGTAAGCACACAGGTCACATCCAGCTATGTGACTTGCTATTGCGTACCTGCTTGTTAAATGTCAGCTAGAGATTTTTATAAACAAGGCAGTATTTCACTCAATACACAGCTTGGCTCACTTCTGCTTGCTTAAGCTTTCAGTTACAACTAGGGAACATGAAAATAAACATCATTGGCTTTGAGATGTCACTGTGCCCACACCTACACATGCCAGTGGGGTCTGACTGAGGGTTTGTGTCTGACATCTCAAGCAAGTCAGTTGATCCTCCCTCCCTACACTAAGAAACATTCACTTAAGGCTCTTTCTAAACTGTGAAGGACAAGAAAGGGAGTTGAGGGTCTCAGAGACCTGCCTACCATCACACACATGGGCTCCTTGGCTGCCTCAGGACTAAAACTCAGTCCTGATCTGTTCCCACTGCACTAACTTCAGAGCAAACCCTGCTCTGGCCGCTTTGCACTGCCAGAGCTATTCTCTGCACACTGCTAAAGGAAGTATCACGGAGACTAATAAAAAAAAGGCCAAACAGTATCAAATATCAGTTTATAGCTAGAAGTACAACTGAACCTCCATGCTAACACCTTGCTAGAAGTTTACACAAGAGATTTTGCTTATTTTCTACCTCCCTTTCTTCCTTATAATCACATTTGTGTTGCATGAACTCAAAAAACACCTCTATCTAACACTCAGACCTCCTGAATTAAAAGCCTAAGAAAGCTAAAAAAGACTCAAAGAAAGCTAAAAACTCAGAAGTCTGATTTTCCTCTCTCTCGGCAAGGTTTCTATTTCTGTTGGTGACTGACTGGCTGCTCTAGAGAGAGGTGGTGTTTAGCACTCCCCTAACCCTACCAGTTCAGCACTCCCCTAACCCTACCAGTTCAGCTGCCCATCAGGTCTTAGAGGCTCTCCTGACACATCAGCAACTAGCACTCAGAAGCAGGACCTGGTTTCAGGTAAGTGACATTTCTGGAATTACATTTTGGCAGGAGGAGGTTCAGAGCTGACAAATGCTCCGAGGAGCCCAGCCCAGCTCAGGAAGACGCAGGCTGTTACGACACCGACCCCTCAGCCATCAGTTCTGGCTGCACCATGGTGCTCAAGGCACTAGAAGTATTTGACATCCAGCACTCTGGCAAGGTGCTACTTGCGTCGGCTGCTGTGCCAGGTTCTCACAACTCCCATGTCTTTTGGGTGAGCGGGTCCTCCCGAAGCACATACCTGCTGTAGTGCCAGGCATGGAACTATTCCCACGGTGAGTGCCTCTGCCCATTTTGCCCTGCTGTGAGTATCATCAGCACTTGGACATCTCTAGTATGCACTTGAGCATAGCAAAAAATAGCTATAATTGACAGGCACTCCTTATTCTCAAGGACAAAGAAGCTCTGTGTTTCATAGCTTCAAGAAAATGGTCTCCTGTATGAGTCAGCTGCCTGCTAAAAATCTTCACGTGTTCTTAGTTGCTTCCCCTTACAACAAGGCTGACACCTTGCGATGTAGCAGAGCAGCCTAACCTCCCTCCCTTCTTTATATATAAATACTCAGATATACATGCACAGGTGTGTACACAGTCACCTACAGACGGTGACACCACACACAGCCCTAAAAGAGAGGGGAAAAAGAGAGAGCCTGCCTAGTGAAAGTCAGAGATCCCACTCAGACTGGAAAGCCTAACTCAGTCTGTAGCATGACCAAAAACCATTCCTCAATCTCCCTAAAGCCCATCAGCCAAAGGCCCACAGCATTAAAAACCCTTTTAAAGTAACTTCTCATCCCCATGTGGCACCTTGCAGCGCCCTGCAAGGGATTTATTTCAGCTCCCAGTCTCCTGCCTTGTCGTGCCCCCTGCAGTGAGTGCTCTGTAAGGCAGGCTAGGGAGCCTTCATCCCTTTATGCTGCACGTATCTGATGAAAAGCCACTTCCACAGGGCAAGGGCTAGATAGAAAATATTTGGCATTTTACCCTTAGCCATGAAACCAGCTGACAGGAATGGAGTTCAACTGGATTAGCTCTTCTCTGTGTTGCTCAGGCACTGACCCAGCTCTGTTCATAGCAAGACCATCATAGCCCCTCAGCCATCCAGATGCTCCTGGTGCTAACTGGGAACGAGGTAGAGCCTCTCCAGTGCCTCCCCAGAGGACTTCAACACTTCTGTCCTGAAGGTGAGTAATCCAAGTGACTGCAATGATCAAGTCCTTGGGAGCACAGCAGGTCAGAGGTGAACTCTCAGACTTGAACTCCAGGAACCTCAGGGCCAGACATAAAGTCAGTCTGGAAGACGAGTCAGAAAGGAGTTCCTCCTGCTCCAGCATGATTTGATCTCAGTCCAGCCCTTACTCTGGCTTAGCTTCTGTGCACAGACCAGTGTAAAAAAGGCTCTTCCTCAGAGGAACTTTGGGAAGCACACCCACCAGCCCAGCCTAGAGCCAGGAGGTAAACAGCAAGGGCTTTGATATTGCTGATCTGTGGTGACCTAATGACTAACAAAAAGCTTTGGACCAGGCGCCTAAGCTTGTTAACATCCATTAAAACATGTGTATGTGAGTGAGAAAGACCTTCTTCTGCTTGTCCTAGCTCTGCTGAGCTGAGGCTCTTCATAAAATAAGTTAAGAATAAGTTAAGCAGAGCAGCCTGAGCCTGCCCCAGCCTTACTTTACACATAGCATGACCACTGCTGACTGCCATAACAAAAACAGAGGCTGTGGGAGTGTAAGAGAGAGGAAATCCAAGCACCTGGCTTGCTTTGTTGTCCAACTCTGCTGACAAAAGAAAACCTGAAGTGCCAAGGTCAATTCCCCAACAAGGCCACTGCTGGGCCATATTCCCAACTTTTATTGTTAAACGGGGAGGAAGGAAGGGGAGGGGAGCAGCAGAGAGGAGGAATTGCAGTTACTTTGCCAATTTTTCCTCCATCACTTTTCCTGCTTAGCTTCACCACTCAGGGCTTTCTAACAGCTCTGCTCATCACCTTCAATTTCTTCCTCCTTCCTCAGAGCTCTGATTTCCTAGGAAGTGCTAAAGTTCAAGAAATGATGCTACTGAAGGCGGCTGAGATCATCTCCCCACAAATTCCTGACATGCCCTGGGAAGACACATCTGAGTGGTTGCAGACTGCGCATTTTGCTCCCCAGTGTGAAGGAGACAGTGCTGGAGCTGCTGCCCCTCAGCAGCCGTGCCTGTCCTACCAAGCTTTTACACCCAGTGTAAAACATGAAGATAATCAAAATCAGTCAACAACCCTGCTCCAATTGCAACATTTTCTTGTAGAGGGATACCAAATACTAGTCTTTATATCTCAAGCACACCGTAAATGATATGAGCCAGCAAAAAAACAAAACTCATTAGTCACATGCAATAGGTTAGCTACTAGCACCTGCCACCTTTGGTTTGTCAAGATTAAGAAGTTCTCCTCACCCCACTAGACCCATCTGTGCTCACAACAACACTGGGAAACAGAAAGGGAAATTGCTTCTCCTTTTGAGGCTACAGGGAATATTGGTGCAAGGAGGTGTGATATTATAGAATAAATGGAAGATAGGCAGAGAAATAAGATTTCCATTTGGCATAGTGATTTCCCATCTCAAAGTGATCAGAGAGCAGAGCAGACCCTGCATCTGCAACAGGATGAATATTAGCCACTCTTCTCTTAGCAGCTAAGAGATTAGCCACAGGAAGGATGCCTAGATGCATGATCTTTCAGAATATGCTGTGGGTTTTAACTCTGCGGGTCCGTTTTCTTTACAGGATCAGCATGCCAGGACGGAACAACCAAAGAATTGCCAAAGAATCTGGGAGAGGTGTGTTGAGGAGCTAAATTAAATGAACAACAAGCCTTTTACCCAGACATTGCTGGAGTCTATGCACTGAATAGCAGTAAAATTAGCACCAGCTTCTAAGAAAACCCGATAGCTCCCTGGGCTTTACATTGCAGTAAGGAGTAAGGGCAAGACGCCTTTGGTTCCTCAGGACACCACCTCCTAAAGCAAGGATTATCTGGGGCTTATAAGGGAGATTTCTAGGTCTGAGCCATGTGCAACATCAGGGGGTGAAACACACATCTGTATTTGGATCTGTATTTGGAAGTGCAGCTGTAGGACTTTAACCAAGCAGAACTAAACGGGGCCCAGCGCGCTCCTTGTGGCGCCTGCACCTCAGCCCCTTGGTGCCACACTGCAGCCCCGCGCATGCGCACCGCCCTTCACGACGCCGCGCCTCGCTTGACGGCAGCGTGGCGCCCGCGTTTTTGCGACGGTGTGGCAGCACCGCCCTCCGCCCGGCTGCCGCGCTTGACGGCAGCGATGGCGTCGCGGTTGAGTGGGGCGCTTCGGCTGGCGGGCCTGGACGACTACATCGCGCCCTCACAGGTGGGCAGGGGGGGCGGTGGTGAGGGCCGGGAAGGAGGTGGGAGAGAGGTGGAGTCCTCCAGCCGCCGTCAGGGGTCGGGGGGTACAGGGGGGAGAGGCCCCCATGGGTGCCAGCCGCCCCCATGGGTGCTGGGTGCTGGCAGGGCTGGGCCCCCCCGGCCTGGGCCCAGAGGTGTTGTCAGGGGCACCGAGACACCCTAAAGGGTCACTGAGCCGCCCTAAAGGGTCACCGAAATGCCCCAGAGGTCACCGAGCCGCCCCAAAGGTCACCAAGCCACCCCAAAGGGTTATCAAACCACCCCCACGGGGTCACCGAGCTACCCCAAAGGTCATCCAGCCACCCCAAAGGTCACCAAACCACCTCAAAAGGGCGGCCTGTGACACCCCCAGCGGGGCTGGGGTCGTGGGGGCAATGAGCAGGGCAGCAGGGGCACGGAGGTTTCTTTCTACAGTTATCAAGCACCAACAAAAGTACAAAATCCTGGACGTTTGCTTATAAATAGTGCAGAGAACTTCTGAATCTGTGGAATGGGATGTAGCAAATCCCATTAACTGTCCCTTTAATACCTGCGTTTCCCAGTGAAGTCTCTAATGTAAATGATGTGACCCGCTGCTCTGCTTCAAATACAGTTCCTTGCTTGGTTTATTCACCGAGCAGAAGTGAAGAATCGTAGAGACTTGTGCCTATAGTCTCTGAATCTGGCAAAATGCAGAACAAAAATGTAGTAAAGTTGGATTAAGTTAGGGGTGAATCTGTTTAAAGGTGTTGGCAGGGCAAGGATGCTAAAAGGCAAAACGAATTGTAGCTGTGGAAGTAGGACAAGGAGTCATAAAGTGCGTAAACAATAAAAATCGCACAAAATGTGAAAATACCCCTGAGACTTCATCACAGAACAATACAGAAAACTGGAAGCTGTCCATCTGAGGTCGTCAGAGTCCTTTCGACATTGCATGAAACTTCATTGGCACTAGCCACATGGAGACTGTAGCAACCACGCCTCCATCGGTTAAAATTCGCAATGAAGGCTGCACGATCATCTGTCAGATTTGAGAGAGGAGAGGAACACTTTACAGGCAAGGCTCCTGAAAACACAGCTGTGCTATTTGAGAAAGAACACAGAAACTCTCCTCCGGTTTTGGTATGATGCTGAAAAAGTGTTCCTTCTGTAAAAAAGGGGTAAGCGGATTTTGCTGGTACGTTTTCCCTTGGTGCTTATAAACACCGTAAGTGTATCCAGCATTGCTTAAAGTGGGGTAGGAGGCGTTCACTTTAGAACAAGTCTCCGGGTTTGATCATTTTAGTTTCTTTGAAACCAGCCTTCTGTGCGTCATTGCTCATCTTGTTCTGGGGTTTTATTTCTCTTTCAGGAATGTGTCAAGCCTGTAAAGGTGGAAAAAAAGCCTGGAAAAGCAGCAGCTAAGATCAAAATTGAAGCAGATGGGAGCTATTTTCAGATCGGTCAGGTATTTGTGATTTTTCTTTATTATTGTGTAAAATATGCAGAAAATGCTAACGTATTGTTACATATTAATAGTTGTAACCTATTAAATACTTCACAGAGGACCAAGATGTAATAAGTGTTGCTTTTGTCATCAGCATTCTCACATCTTTTTTCCAAAGTCCAGCTTGTTAATGATTAAATTTTACAAGTAATAATTCTGATTTGGTGTCTATTATTATGCTCTGAAACATTGACAATAACAAATGGTGATTTTTAGTATAAGAGCAGATAAGCTAAGTCTTTTTTGCCATCAATCCTTAAACATTAATAATTCCTAGAGTATTTGAGATAATGTCTTTTTTATTGCACTGTTTCATATGGTTACTTACAAAGAGATTCAATTAGATTAGATGGTCTTTTAACTTTAAAAAAGTGGGGCAGGGGCAGTACTTCTAAAGGAGCCTGATTTCTGATTAAATATTTTAATTCAGTAGTACCTAATTGCTCTGTGTCTGACTTTATTGAGATATGAAGTTTAAGGGGGAGAGTCTCATTGCAAAACTGATTTATTCAGGTCAATTACTATGAAAAATATTTCCTTCTATTGCCATACCACACAATGATAGTCAGCCATACATTTCCCTTTTAGTGTCTGTATAAGTTTTGCATGCAAAATATCTGCAGAACATGCAGCATCACCTAAAAATATTAGCAAGTTGTAGTCTGGTTACACGATTTCTTTAGCAGGAGTGAAATTCAAGACTCCTGTGAAGAAACAGCTCCAGTACTATTCAATAATATGAGCTGCGTCTGACAGAGGTGGCAAAGCTGCTGTGCTTTCTCAAGGGTAGATGTTCAATACACACTGGAGGTTGGGTCTTAAAGGCTTAGGATCTCTGTGGTCTACAGTTTTGTGGTTAAAGTTGCAGCTGCAATCTGCAGTATGTTAGCCATGGCGGCCCAGCTTTTAGCCACCCACAAGCTGAAAAACTACAAGACAGGCTGTGTTTGCTCCTGGGAAAGTATATAATTGCAGTGTTTTGGAACAATGTCAGCCCACCGGATAGCAGAAATAACTGTGGCCTCAGCAACTGTTCCATATTTGCTGACAAGTTCATGGTCTTGCTGAAGTTTATCCTGAAGTTCCTCAACATATTTGTGTGGGTATGCCGAATGATCACATTAAAATCAGCAACCTTCAAAGATACATCTTCCTCCTTATTTTACTGAAAAAGAAATAAATAAATAAACCAGGGGGGTAAAAGGAGCAATATCTAATATCTTTGTTACTAAACAGAGTAAAGGTTAGAAACTGCCTCCCTGCCTGATTCTCTATTGCAATCAAAACCGAATCTAATCTGTTTCTGCCTAGGATGGAGAAGCACAAAAACTGGAGAAGGCTAAAATTACTCTGAACGACTGTTTAGCTTGTAGTGGCTGCATTACGTCAGCAGAGAGTGTGTTAATCACTCAGCAGAGCCACGAAGAGCTCTGCAAAATACTAACTTCTAACAAGGTAGGTGACAAGACACGGGGAGGGAAGCTGCAAAGTCTTAGGGTCTTAATAGATTGGTGTGGTGCATCTGTAGAAGCACGTTTGGAAACAGCACACACAAAAATTAGTTTCAAAGATGGGAAGGATTTGAATACATTCTCAGCGCGGTGTGGTGCATTTTCCAGTTTTTTAAAAAGTAGTCATAGGTTTGGGAATGTCCTTTTTATGTTGCCAGCCTATGTTAGTAACTTGGGAGGTGAACTGGGAGATATTTGGGGAAGTTCTAATGTTCTACAATACTGCATGAGCTCTATTAGTACTGTCTGAACAGATACTTTTTATTTATTTTTTAAGACTGCAGCTCCAAATGAACAGAAGTTGGTGGTGGTTTCTGTTTCACCACAGTCCAGAGCTTCACTAGCTGCGAGATGTAAATTGAGTGTTCTGGAAACAGCAAAGAAGTTGACTGCGTTCTTGAAGAGTTTAGGCAAGTGTAGTAATGTGTTCTGTTAATCACAGGTGGGACTGCTGGGATATGTGTTAGGTACAAATTTTATGAGCTCGCAAGGGTGATGTAAATTAACCTCCATCTGGATTCATAATTCTGTGTAATTTGCATTAAGCTAAAATGCAAGCATTCTGCATTTTCAGTCGCAAAGTAAAGTTGGAGTAATGGAGAGAAGGAACTTTAAATCATTCACATTTCTCCTGTGACTTTTGCTCTTGTCTATGCTGACATGCTGGGGAAAACAGTTCACTCACAACTGCAGAGGTTGATAGCTGTGGATATGATGTGCAGTTTGCTGCTTGTATCTTCCCTGTGAATTTTAACACATGTGCTGTATTGCCTAGGTGTGCACTATGTATTTGATACAACCTTTTCAAGAAACTTCAGTCTGCTGGAGAGTCAAAAAGAGTTTGTAAAACGCTTTCGAAAAACAAGCTGAAGACAAAAAGGCTTTGCCAATGCTAGCTTCTGCCTGTCCAGGTATGGTAGTAAATTAGTTACAGAAATAATAAAATGGCATACTAAAGTACATCAAAACAAGAATTCAGAAAGCTAGTCAGAAACATTAACATGGATAAATTTACTGAGAGGGATTACTTTCTTCTCAGTACAAAGAGATCTTGGTGTTAATAGCAATAATGGTCTATGCAGCTGCCTACTGATCTTTCCAAAATGAATTGTGTTACACTTCCTTTGCTTTTTGCACTGAAGTGAGTCTGAAAATGGTTATTACTGGGTAGTAAGTCTGGGGTTGAGGGCCTGTGGGCACAGTGAAGGGGTGCTTGTTTTTTTTATTTATTGCAGCTGTTTGCTAATTAGACTCTCCTCAGGTTGGATCTGCTATGCAGAGAAAACCCATGGCAGTTTCATCATTCCTTATATCAGCACCACCAAGTCTCCGCAGCAGGTCATGGGCTCCTTAATAAAGGGCTATTTTGCAGAACAGCAGGTAAGGTCTATTGAACAATATCTGATATATATTCCTTTGTGTTTTACAAGAGAGCTTGAAAGTAAAAAGTTGTCTTGTAAATTGCCAGCAAAGGCAACATCTCTCTCATTTCTGCATTATCTAGTAAGAAGCTGACCACTGGGCCAATAACACTAAGCTTAAGCTTGGTGGAGTACTTAAAACCTCTATATTATTCAGGAAGGCTAGGGAATCTGATTGTTCAGTGTACTTGTGCTGACATCTCAAATACCACTGTGTAGTATTTTCATGCTGTTCACAGTTGGTGGATAACTTAAAATAAATTAACCTAAGACAAAACTTCAGTCACTGCATACGTGCAGATCATGTCTTGTCTAAAAATTACTTGTTCTTTCCCAACTTAATGTTCTGTTTCAGTTTGACTTAGTTTTGTGCTCAGTCTTTAACCTTTGGAATCTTTCCAAATGTAAATTTGATACTTAAAGACTAGAGTTATACTAATAGCCCAGAGTTGTCCAGCAACAAACTTAAGCACCGTTTCTGATTGTATGATTTATTGCCCATTAACAAGCACTGGTTTAACGCTTGCATTAAATAATTGCTGACATCTGCATATTTGTAACAAAAATTGGCAGCTACTGAGAATATTTGGCACAAGACAGCAAAACAATGGCCTTGAGTCAATGACTTATTTCCTCAGCTTGTACTTATTTCTTGGATGGTCCTGAGTTTTTTGTCCAACTCTAGATTATTTCTCAGTTACTGATGCAGGGGTTTAGTAGCGTGTTAGAAACACGTCATGTAACTGAATAGGATTTCTCCACTGATTGGATCACCTGCACTAGCAATAGGTGGTGGTGGGGAACTGTGGAAGACCATATTGGTGACACTTGCTAGCAAGGGTTCTATAAGAGAGAAAAAATATATATTTTCATGTTCAATAATCAAGAGTACTTCCAGAGGCATGGCAGCATTAATTTCTTCATACTCATTTGTAGTTGAAAAATATCTTGCACAAGACACGTTTGATATTGACCCATCCAGCTACATTGCTGTGTCTTTTTCCAGCACTTAACACCTGACCAGATATACCATGTAACAGTAATGCCCTGTTATGACAAAAAGCTAGAGGCTTCAAGGCCAGACTTTTTCAACCAAGAGTACCAAACTCGAGATGTGGACTGTGTAATCACCACAGGTAAGTAGAGCTAGAGACAGTCTAGATAATTCTGGACTGGTTTTAATAATCTTTTTTTTGGTGGTGGAGGAAGTAATGCATGGATATTGCTGTATAATCTCACTTCAATAATACAAATCACATTCTGGTAAAGACTGCAGATGTATGCTTAGGTATTGATCTGTGGATTGTTTTCCTTTATCCCCAAAATATGCTGTGCTTCTGTTTTAGGGGAAGTGTTAAAGTTACTGGAACAAGAAGGAGTATCTCTATCAGATGTAGATCCTGCTCCTCTGGATACCATGTAAGAACAAAATTTCATTTGTACCTTTCAGGCATGTTCTTGTTCATCCACTCTTCTTACCAAGTTCTTCAACACAGTTTGCCTTCTACTACTGTTCTCCTGTGCACAAGGCTGCACGTGTTTGCATTTATTTGTTTTCACTAATTTTGAATCAGTACAATTCTGCATAAAGTACTTTAGCAACCTGTGACAAATTTACACTTTTGGAGCACCTGTAGCTGTTTGCTAGATTTTAGTAGGTCAAGGATTAGCAATTCTCACCATAAATCATCAGTATTGCTATAACGAGCTCAGTAAGAGTGTAACAGCAAAATAATTGTGCAGAGAAGTACAAATTGCATCACAGTTGTTTCATTACTTTTACTCCCAATATAACTGGTGGAATCCTATGAAAATCTACCTGCATGCTCAGAGGAGTGAAATAATCTAGGTCAGCAATAAAAGAGTTTGCTGAAACAAGGCCTGGTATTGCACTGGCTGCAAACACAAGTTTGCTTGTGTCTATTCGTTATCTGAGCTTCTATAAGGATTCCAGTATTAAAGCAGAAAAAAATATTTAGGTCACTCAGCTAATCTCTGGGAGTCTTTATTTGCAAAAACATGATCTTAAACATATGCAAACCAGATGAGACTTCAGTTGCATTAACTGAAAACATCTGGTTAAGTGACAACTGCAGAGATCTAAGAGATTATAGAAACATTAAAATCGCATTTTATCCCTCTAAGTTGACATGCAGTAGTGGTTCCACACTGATCATTAAACCAAAGCATTCTCTTCATCAGTTTAGAAGAAATGTCTCTGTAGCACTTTGTGTCATAATAAACATACTACATATGTAGCAACCTTTACAAATTTTAAAAGATTAACAATATAATTCAGAAGTTTACTGTTCAGACTAAGATTTTAGGAGAGATTTTGATACCCCAAATACACAGATGGCACATGAGTAGGATGTGGCTCTTGTCTGTTTTCAGTTATACCCTTTGCAGATACGACACTTGTTTTGAAATGTAGCTTATTTCTAAAAAGGATTGAAGTCTTTCCAATAGAGATTGAAGTCTTTCCAATACAACTAAGTGCCATGGGCAGCCTTTGCTTAGGAGTTGTCTGAACAGCACGTGTACTTTGACATAGCTGTGAACAGAGGCATCAAGAATGTGAGATAGAGATTGTCTACTGCAGTCTGATCCCTTTTATTCAAGGGATACTTTCAAAAAACAAACAAACAAAAAAAAAAACCACCATAGTAATGAGATTTGTAGCTTATTAGAAGTAAGCTGCTTAGTGCAGCTTACTTCTGCACTTTTAGGTAAATTTAAAATGTGAACCTTGTTACCACTGATAGGTAGCAGAAGGAAGACTTTTCAAATAATACACTGAATCTGTTCTGTAGAACTCAGTCTCTCATTCACATTGCTCAGGAGGACTTCCTTAAGGAACTGAAAGCACACCAAGCCAGCAGTCACTCTTTTTTCATTTACTGTGATTGATCTTGTTTCACTACTATATCTGCCTTGAAAGACATGATGATATAAATGATATCAGTTGATGCATAGCTGGAGTACTGATAAAACTTTAGGAACTGAGAGACTGCATGACATGGATGCAAATGCTTGTCGTGCTGCCATTAAGCTTCTATATTGAAGGAGTTTACATCAGTGCATGTGTGTAAAGCATTTTACTAGCACAGATGTACTCATGCATTCTGAATTTATAAATTCTTCTAGTATTGCCTTTTTCTAACATGGCTTATGCACAAATTACTTTCACATCAAAAAAAAAAAAAAGAAAATGTCTTCAGCTGTAATAACCGTCTGCATGGCTAATTCCCAAAGGTACAATTTCAGAAGTTGCCCATGTAAACAAGCACTTCTGTACTACATCTTTTATTGCTATACTATTAACAGAAAATCAAGGAGTTAAAAACACATTCTGAAGTGTTTGGATTCATTTAGGAAATAACATTATGGAGGTGTCAGTTATAACATAGAACAAAATGTCTAATTACTTGATAAAAATCTCTGGCTCACTCCTTAGGAGTACATTCTGAGCACTAGGCCTCATGCTTGTGGTGATAAAGTGCTTCTATAACCTTTTGCTAGCTTTAACTTACTCAGTAAATTGACTGGTTACAAACTGCACGTATTCATCAGAACTTGGAGCATTAACATAAGCAGTCCAATGACTGTTGTTCTGCCTTATCCTCCAGCACGTGGAAAAGCCCATTAAGAGGTTATTATATTTGGCAGCAAGAACGAGATAAAGTGCCAGAAATCTGAGGACTTTTGCTGGTATAACTGTTTGCTCCAGGCCAGCTCTAAAGCTTACTGGCAGCCTCAGTTTAAGAGAGTAGCAGTACGTGAGGCCAGACACACTGAAACATTTCATTAATGAAGCTCAGTTCCTGTAAACAAGATCAAATTAAAAATAGTTTCTGAAGGTGATTACAGGCTAAAGTGTTGCCTTCTGCAGTTCTTCTAAAACTAAGATTTTATCGCAAGAGGCAACATCTTCGATTTGACTTGAAACTGCTTGGCCTGAATTCAAGTGTTTTCCCTCCTGCAGCTGTTAGTAGGAGAATGCAAGTGTCACTGCCTGATGAGTGCTTATAAGCATACCCCACATTTTATTATTCTCTTATAACAAAAGCTATTGTTGTGGCTTCCATCTGGTGAGCTGTTTTTCAAGAAACATTATCTTGACCTCTAAGTACTTGGTCGTGTTTTAGGATATCAGTGAGATGGAATTATTTGTGCAGAACTTGAATTAACAGAACTTATGTTAGTGCAGTTACTCAACACCAGAGATGTTTTGAACTAGAACCAGGTTCCTGCTGAGGACAACCATGTACAGAACAAATGCCCTGGCATTATTAGGTTTGTTCATCTTTATGTTCTGCAACTCTGATGGCCATGAGAAACCACAGCAACGCTGGTTTCATCTCTTTGTGCTTGGACGGACAGCACTGATACCTCCCTGAAGTGTTCTCTGATGTCCTGGCAACTAGACATAAGTACCCATTTTCCCCCAAAAAAAGCGTGTTGTAACAGAGGACCAGAGAGCTTTAAATAATGAACTCAGCTTTTGCTGATGTTGCAGAAAAGCTTTATGACCGATGTCTCTTGACTGACTCTAGACTGTGTTCTCCACAAGAAGCATAGGCTGCACAGATCCATACCCCCACTGCTTCATTATTTCCCTCCTCCCATTTCTAAGTATAACCCAGGATGTTTGTAGAGATACTAAACAGGAAGCTAAGTAAAAAATGCATTCGCTTAGACATCTCAGGTAATTGCCCTCATAACTCAAATGTTCCCAAATGTAGTTTTGTTGTGTGAAGATTAAGTTGGCAGTAGGATCAAGTCACAGTATTTCCACTGAGCTTAACCCAAGGGATGTTAGCACAGAGTTAAATCTGCAGGGCACTGAAGCTATAAATAGTCTCTTCCCAGGAGAAAAGGAAAGGCTAGGAGTTCAAAGGGAGCCGGTCTGTGGCTTGTTCTATTGCTTTTGAATTCCCCAGATGAAAATTCTGCTATCAGAGAACCTCACAGGACTAACAACATGATGCTTCTGTTAGAAGTACTGAAGCTGTTTTAGTATTGGCATAATGAAACTTCTGTTTGAAGGAACAGTGGGCTTTGCGCTGGCTGTTGTTTTATCAAAGAGTCCCTTAAAACTGCTGCTTTCTTCCCTTCCTCAGGTTTAGTAGTGCTGCAGAAGAGGAACTCACTAGCCACTCAGGAGGTGGTTCTGGTGGTTATTTGGAGCACATATACAAGTATGCAGCCAAGGAACTCTTTGGAATTCAAGTGGATACAATTCAGTACAAACCTTTAAAGTAAGAAGTTTAAAGTTTTTACAGAAAGCACTATTTTTATTACAATTCTGTTTATGCTTTGCCTTGCTGATGGGCTGAAACTTTCTTTGCAATGTTAAACATTTTACTTTGAGGCATGGGAATTGGCTTCTCACTCCCACAGTTGCTGAGCCATAAATCAGCCAGCACTCCATGCAGCCTGGCCCTTGGAGACTTCTAGCCCCTTCACCACCCACACATTTCATTTTGGCCTCATGGATTTTCCCAGTATCAAGTTTCAGATAATTTTAGAGCAACTTAGAAGTCAGAGCTTACAGGGATCTGAGTTGTCTCACCTGCAAACAGGCCAATAATGTAGCTTTGTTACTGATGTAGCTATCGTGGAAGAGAAAAAAATCTTATGTCAGGATTTTGGAACTCCGTTTTAACAGTGTTATGGTAAGAAAGAAAAAAGTCACTTTGGTTTGCGTATAGAAGCACATTTAGCTGAGATTCCTGCATGCTTCCCAGGTATAAGCTTAATGTGACATTTGTAGTGAATTACAGTCCTGATTAACAATATTAGTGCTTAGTAGTCTCTGTTGTAGGAAGCAGATGGAATATGGAAGCAGTTCCTTGCATTTTCCATACAAAACACTTGATAAAAGTGAAATTACTTATCAGGAACAGGTATTTCCACTAATGTTAGGAGTCCAGAAGCCTTCAATGATAGTTACCTCCATGGTTTTATGACCCACTACAGTTTTAAGTTTCCTTCAGTAGCCTCACTGATGTGTAAGTTGGCTGAAGCCAGCTCAGGTGGCCTGTCACAATGAAACTTCAGTTTAGGCTCCATTTGCTTAGGTCTTGAGGATTTATTCAATATGGGTGTTCTTCAGGAAGCTGAGTTCAAGCAGCAGGTCTTCAGACAGGATCAGAAAAGGATTTGTAAGCTAGCTCTGCCAACTGTTTCGCTTCAGTGGCAAAGAACTAGGACAGCTTTCTCAAATAAGACTCTATGAGGAATTTTGTTTCGACGTAGGCTTCTTTGAAGTTTAAAATAGAAGTTAATTTTGATAAGACATTCTCTGCTCTTGTTCTTCAGAAACAAGGACTTCCAAGAGGTGACACTGGAGAAGGATGGAGTAGTTCTGCTCCAGTTTGCCTTGGCATACGGGTTTCGAAACATACAAAACTTAGTGCAAAAGTTGAAACGAGGGAAGTCACCCTATCACTACGTTGAAGTCATGGCCTGTCCATCAGGTAAGGCTGCACAGGGATTTCACTGCTACAGTCTGTAGCTGTAGGAAGCCATATGGAGCTGTAACTAAAATGTGAGATGACAGCAGCTTCTCCAGCTTCTCACATCCCTGAATGTTGTGGCAAAGTCTTCAAATTCTTAAGATGTGATAGTACCAACATGGGATTACCAAGGGGTATATGTGTTTTCCTACCTAGAAACTAGTAATTCTTCAGGATTTAAGTAATTACAGTTAAATTTCATGTTGAAACAGCAAATCCCAAGATATTTATCTCACCTTCAGTTGAGACCACAGGGCTGTTTTTGCATAGGTTGCATACTGGCTTTTTCTTTTTTTCTTTCCCTGATGACAGAGGAAGAAAGCCATCCCTCCTTGCTTCCTCTTATCTCTGCCTCCCTGGCACTTCCCAGGAAACCTTGGAGCCCTGTCACAGCTGGGCTGAATTAATTAGCATTGGGTCACACCAGGCAGTGAGCTCCCCTCTTGGGCTGCTGCCTGCCCTGCTGCTGTTAGATAATGAGGGTGTGTTCTTATTTCTGCAGCTGTTCACAGGTGGAAAGCAAGCTTAACCGTAGTTGGTTTTGTTTTCCTGATAAAACTGAAGTAATGTCTAAACTCCGTGATCTTTTCCCACTTTGTTTTACGCAGGCTGTTTAAATGGAGGTGGTCAGATTGAACTGGAAGGTGAATCCAGCAAGGATGGGCTCCAGCAAGTTGAGAAGCTGTATAATTCTCTTAAGGCTGAAATTCCAGAGGAGAACCGGACTGTAACTGAACTGTATGAGCAGTGGCTGGGTGGCACGGAGTCAGAAAAGGCTGGGAAAGCTTTGCATACAGAGTACCACGCAGTGGAGAAAATAAGCACTGGATTTAACATCAAATGGTGACGACTGATGCTGGATGCAGATCTGTGAAGCCCAGATGAACTCAGTGCCTTTTAAAGTTGATTGTATTTAAGATTCTCAAGAGACTGCTAAAGCTCAGCGCCATCACTGGTGAACTGCACTTTCTGACTCTCCTTGGGGAGAAGGTAATGTGCATATAGGCAGGCAATACTAATTCCTACAGCTTTATAATTATTATAATGATGTGAATAAAAGACAAACAGTGACTTAAATACATGTTAAAAGAAGCAGTAATGTATCTTAGCCTCTACAGTCTCTAACGACTAAATCTGCATTCCCTTTACAATCCTCTTCCTAACATAAGTGACAAATTTAAGGTACTGAAGGATTTGTCTTGAAGTAGACTGTAACCTCACCGAGATGAGCTTTATGCTACCTGAGAGTATTTCCCATCCAGGCTTTGCTGTATTTTTTTACAGCACAGAGTTTTATGACTGTCTCTTTTGGGACATCCCCACTTAGTTATAAATGGTCTAATTAGACCTTGGGCTTTGTTTTTATGTTTCTCTGCCCCTGACTGGATGCCCTTGAAGTCCAGCTGCAGCCTCTCTGCACTGGCAGAGGGGGGCGGGTACCAGCAGCCTGTAATCATGCAAGAAGCATCATCTCTAGGGCTGTTCTGTGCCCTGCTGAAATGTGACTCAAATGAATGTTTAAGAAGAAAAAGCTACGTGTTTCCTTTAATTATAACAGTCATCCATAACTGGGGACAATTACATCTCTCCCTCCATAAATACATAGAGACACACACAGCTGTCACAGCTACACTGGCCTCAACAGTTACCGATGAGTAATATCCTTAAACTCAGCAAAAACAGTTTTTACAGTGCTTCAAGTAAGAATTTATTGCTACTTTTCTTTTTGACAAAAGTCCTTGGTGTCTGAAAGGTGTTAATTTATAAAAGGTCATAGAAAAAGAAGGCCAGGGGATGTAGTCATCACAGTTTACCAGAACAATCCAAGAGGTTAGCAAAAATACATCTGATTTAATGTGATGCGTTACAATGCTTTGCCAAAACACGTGTGGATATGAACTAGATTTGGTCTTTTGTTATGGGAGATGACGTGTGCTTGACTTGCTATCTGTATTTTTACCTATGGGTGTTTTCAGAACTATTTACAGAAAAAAAAAAAAACACAACTGTGAATGACTAACTCTGTTTTGGTCTCTTTAATCTGAATGTCGTTTCATGGAGTGACAGGCATGTATAGGAAGGGGACAGTGGAAGTGGGAGGAGTTGCAGCTGTGCCTTACTTCAAGGTGAAGGGACACTGGCAGATGTGGAATCTCCTTGTGACCGCTGCAAGTGAAAATGAATTTAAAAATCATGTTCTTCCTTCACTTAAATATTTCTCCTTTTCCCAGTTACTTTCTGCAGAGTCATTCATCACATAGCAGTGAAGTGGATGAGAATTGAACACAAAGCTGCCCTTTTGCTTTGTTCCTTCAGAGTAAATACAAACAGCTGAAGCTGGTTACTGCATCTAGCCCAAACTGAAACCTTGCCCAGACCCTTTTCAGAGATAACCCTCCCTCAGTTACTGCAGGACTTGAGCTCAGGGCTGGCAAAAAGCAAAGCTGCCAGACCTTAACCTGCCTCTTTTAACAGCTTCTCTGACACTTCCCTCTGTTCCAGCCTCCCACTATTCATTAGAAGTAAGCCAACAGTGTAAAAGACAATTTTAATGTTTTTAATTAAAAGCTTTACATATTTTAGGTGTTGCCGATCAATTAGTGAATTCACAGTGTTCATAAGGCAAAAATCTCCCACTGTTTCCCCCTCCCTTCCCTAGTCATACACGAGCAAGTTGGTAGTTGCAGTGAATGCCCTTCTCCATGCATAGTTCTGTAGCACAGTGTTATGCTAAGTCGTAACATTTTTATCTACAGGAAGAGAGACCAGTGCTAATGCAAACGAAGTCCAACATGCTGCAGTGCTGAGCCCATAAACTGTGTACATCAGTGCAAAAGAAACACATTCTGTTCCTGGTGAGAACATGCACATCCAGCCAGAAGTGCACAAGTAAAGCTGAATGAGCTGTAGATTAAACTGAGGATTTGCATTTTGTCACCTCCAGCTACCAACATGCACCTTACTAGAGCTGCCAAAGGACTTTCCACCCAGACCACAGCTCCCACAAACTCTCCCAGTTGTCTGCTCTTGCCACGGTATCAAGAGCAGCTCCAGTTTAACCCAGCCTTTGAGCTGCACACTGCTGTCAACACAAGCAAGCCCCGTGCTAGTGTGGGAACCCTCCCACGTGCACCCTAGTGCATCTTCACTCACAATATGCAGCGTCCAGGGGCACTCCCCAGGTACAATGCCTGTAGGGCATCACCTGCAAACTGCACCAGTACATCTGAACTGAGTAGCTGGGAGGCAACAGTACCGAGGCAAGTTGTGCAGCAGGACTGACTCTTCCCCTCCTGTGCAGAAGAGTAAATTCTAACGATATAACAAACAAACAAACAAAAAAACTTAGTCAAGTTTCTAGCAAGGGAAAAAATGGCCATAAAACAGGCTTCAGTGGTAACAGATGCAGTTCACAGTCCACACAACAGATCCTGAAGTCAACGCTATTCCAGTGTTAGGAGCTATAAAGTTTGTAATCAGTGCTGATTAAAAGGACACCCCCGTGGTATGGGGCCGTGGGGCCAACTCCTCTGGTTGCTCCTCTCTGTTCTCATGCAATCTGCATGACCTAGGGGTAAACTGAGCAACACCGAGACAACGAGTCACACACATTGCACAACTGAAGGAAAGGAAAAAAGAGATTGGTGTGACTGCCCAACGCGGGGCAACCTGCCCCAAACCAGCCCCATCGGAGGGATTTCACAGCTATTTACAGAGCTACCTTCAAGCCCTATTTTTCCCTAAAAAAAAAAGAAAACTACATTACTCAGTTTTGTAATACAACTCACCACCACCTGCAAAATAAAAGCGCTACACATTTTTCAGACTTAACAAATAAAATACAGTACTGATGCTGCACAAACTGAACAATGAGGGCTGCATGCTCAAGAGGCATAAGAGACCCAGCTGCTCCTCACTCTTACTCCAGAGGAAAGGCGAGGTATGTGTGAATTTATCCAGTATTTTTCCAGTATTCTATCTTGAGGGAAAAAAATTGTAATGGATCCATAGCAGCATGCTTGCTTGCTGCCTAAAAGCTCTCCCACCCTGAAAAGCACTGTACGGAGTGGATGAGAGCAGGCTCTCCTCCACACCTGAACTCCACCTGAAAGCATCCTGCAAGGCTTAAGCAATTTGGATGGCTCCGCTAAGTCAGCAATTGCCTTAGAAACCCCTCCACGATCTCCTACATTGCCTACAATAAACCAGAAAGTAAAAAAGGAAAAAAATACACAAACCACAACACAGGCAGGGTTTCTGTCAGCCCAGCTCTGAAGTCCAGCAGCTGCTGATGCCCAGCTCGATGCCCATCCCCTGGCTGCTGGGAGCCCAGGGCCAGCCCTGCGGCAGCTCCTGCGCGTCCCCAGGGCCTCGCACCCGTCCCTGCCCCGGGCCTGATCAGGGCATGGGGACGCCCTGGGCAGGCCCTCGCTGCCACCACCAGGATGCTGAATTTTGGTGGCCGTGCCCATGGTCACACCAGGGAGCCGCCTGCTGCCACCGCGGCTCACTTCTTCTCCAGGAAGGGGCTGAAAAGTCCCCAGTCGAAGGCCAGCACGGCCTGGGGATGGGGCCGCTCCTTGGGCTTCTTGAAGTTATCCTTCTCGGTGCGGAGAGCCCTCAGCACCTCCACCGGCTCCGTCTTCCCTGTGAATTTCTGCACGGCCTCCTCCCTGCAAGGGCAAAGGCTCCGCTGGGATGGTGGGGATGGGATGGGGACCCAGCTCGACACTGGGACAGCGAGGGGCATGGCCTCAGGTTGGGGGCACTGTGGGCATGTGGCACCCTCCCCTCCCTCGGGGTTTGGAGTTCCCACTGTCCAACAAAGCCACGGGGAGAAGGGGTGATGCTGGAGGGGAAGAGGGAGCAGGTTTGGGGGCAGGAGCAGCAGGACAGGGATGGACACCGACCCCGTTTTGGGCCCTTTGTGCCCCCAAGGTGCTGGCTCTGCTTACGTGACCCGCAGGAAGGGGTTGTAGAGGAACTCCTCCTGCAGCGTGGAGGGCACCGTGGGCAAGTCATCATCATCCCGCTGCTGCAAGGAACCAGATGCGTCCAAAAACCCGCTGGCACCCAACATCCCCCCCCGCCATCACCTCTATGGGGGCACGGACACCTACCTTGGCCCACGCAAGTTTCTTCTTCACTGCTTCGTTCTCCGGTTCCACTTTTAAGGCGAACTTGAGGTTTCGGACGGTGCACTCGTGGCCACAGAACACTTTCTGCAAGGGCAGCGGGAAGCACCCAGCGTCGCGAGCGCTCCTGGTGCCAGATCCAACCCTGCTGCACCCCAGTGCATGCAGCCCCGAGGATGGGCACTGCCACCCCATCAGCCCCCCCAATATTTCACCCCCCCAGGCAGGGGGGGAGATGCAGGGTGCTCACCGTCTCCTTCGGCAAAGCCCCCAGCACCTGGGTGAGGTTGGTGTACATCTGCTCCGCCGTCCCCTCGAAGAACTTCCCGCAGCCTCCCACGAACAGGGTGTCACCTGCGGGGTGACACGGGGCTGGGCAAGGGGGGGGGACCCCAAACCCGCAGCCGGACAGAGGGTGGGGCAGATTTGCCCCAGGAGCGTGGGGTAGGGATGGGGTGCATGGCAGCAGGGTGGGGGTACCTGAGAAGAGAGCTGGTGCGTCCGGGGAGCCGTCCTCCCACATGAAGTAGCACATATGGCCCGAAGTGTGGCAGGGGGTGAAGAGGCACCTCACATGGATGGCCCCAAACTGTGGGGAGCGAGGATCAAGGCCATGGCCCATATCTGGGCTCACCGTGGACCCCCGGCCTCCCCAAACCCCCATGCTGCTTGCCCAGGGCCTGGTGGGTGGGGGACACCAAGGGGGACACAGCCTTTGGGGTGCCCCAGCGCCATCCCAAACACACCGGGAAGGGGACAGGGCTTCACCCCATGGTTAGTGTGCCCAACCCACATGAGCAGTGCCACCTCTGCATCACCCTGGGGGGCCGCACACCCACAAACACCCCCGGGCGCAGGGCACACGCACCGTCAGCTCCTCGTTGGGGGCCACCTTGTGCGTCAGGGCCCCGATCCGCTCATCGGCGCCGTACACCCGCAGCCCAGGGCACAGCCTCGCCAGCTCCTCATTGCCCCGCGCGTGGTCCCTGCACGGGGAGAGGAGGCAACGGGCAGCACTGGGCACTGCTGGGCACCACTGGGCATGGTCATGGCCATGGGCACGGCCACCACCTGCACCCTGTACAGAGGCCAGGGGCACTTACCAGTGGTGGTGGGTGGTGAGGACGGCTCGCAGCACCACGTCCTCCCTCCTGACGATCTCCAGCAGCTGGAAGGGGCCAGGAGCAGCAGGAGGTGAGGGCAGGAGGTGGCGAGCACCCAACACCACGCACCCAACGCACCCAACACCAACCCCACACACCCCACACCCAACATCCCACAGCCGCTCTCGGAGCACCCAGCACCCAGCACAGCACAGGATCGGTCCCGCACTGACTCCACTCTGCAAACTGGGTGCCCAGGGTGAGGAAAGGCACCCCAAAAAACCACGCACGGCCAGGGGGGGCTGGCAGGGGTTTAAGGCACGGCTCAACACGCAGCACCCATCGCACAGAGCAGGGCCGGGGGTGCAAAGGGGCAGCTCCCGGGGGGTCGGGGGCTGTTTTGGGGCCAGGCTCATTTTGGGGCCAGGGCTATTTTGGGGTCGGGGTTGGCACAGCAGCAGCAGGGAGGTGGGCCCGGTGCGCCCCCCCCCCTCTGCTCCTCCACTGCAGCCGCCTGGAGCCACCCCGGGGGGAGCCCAAATTCAGCGCCCCCCAGCATCCCCCCCCCCGGGGCTGCCCTCCTGGAGGAGGAAGGAAACGTGCGAGCAAGCGGCGAACGCTTAAAAAAAAAGCGAAAAAATAAAAAAAAAAAAAAAAAAAAAAAAAAAAAAGAGGAAAAACAAAACAGAAAGCGGCGGCGCCTGCCGTGCCTGGGGGGGGTGGGGGGGGGACACGGGGACGGCTTTAGGGGGACCGATCGGGGCCGGTCGGGCTGTGGGGGGCTTTGGGGTGCCCCTAGGGGGGGTCTGCTCCGGGTTGAGCCCCCCCGCCCCCCCTTGGCAAGGGGCAGGGGCCCGGCGCCTCTCACCCTTTTGGGCACGGCGGCGTCCACGGCCACGGCGTCGCGGGTGCGCTCCTCGATGACCAGGTACATGTAGTTGTCCTCCAGCACCGACACCACCTTCACCTTCATTATCCCGGGGCCGCCCGCAGGGACCCCCCCGGGACCCCCCCCCCCGGAGCCGGAGGCGGCCGCTACCTGCGGGAGGGGCCGGGCGGGGAGGGGAGGGGAAGGGACGGGACGGGACGGGAGGGGAGGGGAAGGGCTGCGGAGGGGGAGGGCGGTGTCTAACCTCGTCCCCTTCCCTCCCTCCTTTTCCCTTCCCTCCCTCTTTTTTTCTTCCTTCCTGCCCTCCCTCCCTCCTTTTCCATTTCCTTCCCTTCCCCTCCTTTTCCTCTTCCTCCCATCCCCTCCCTCTTTTTTCCCCTCCCCTCCTTTTCCTCTTCCTTCCCTCTCTCCTTTTCTTTTCCCTCCTTTTCCATTCCCTTTCCTCCCTTCTCTCCTTTTCCATTTCCTTCTCTCTCCCCCTTTTCCCATCCCTCCCTCCTCCCCAGCTCGGTGCAATGCAGCCACAGGGCAGGGGGCAGCTCCTCCTGCAGCCACCAGTGCAATGCAGGGGGTAATCAAGCCCTCAGCTCCCCCCAACCTCCCCACCCCATTTTCTTCTGTTAAAATAAAACTACAGTCTTAACAAGACCTTGTATAAAGCCTCAGATGTTCCCCAAATGCCTACCTGCTCCCCCGTGGGATTTAGAGGCAAGCTGCTACAAGGTCGCTCGCTGACTTTAATCACCAGTACAAAAAAAATACGACTTTAAGAGGTCCACTTTTTTTCCAGACTGCCACACTGTTTACAGCTGCGTTTATTTCCCCAGTTGTCAAACAGCCACCAGTACAGTCATGCTTAGTTGTAGCAGCACAGCATTCAAGTTAAGGAGTCAGTAAAGTTTTAGGTACCATTTTTCTAAAATACATAAAAATTTACCCTTTTTTTTTTTTTTTAAAGCAAATAAGGAAATGGTGCTACACCAAACTCCGTTCCTACACTGCCACTCAGCACGCTCTTTAGAACAGCAGACCAAGTTACAGAGCTGAAAGTACAGGCGGTTGTGCACTCCCTCACGGCACTGCTTACCAACCAGCGTGCACTAGGGAGAGAAACTGGAACCAAAACTGTTCAAATCTGTTACAGATTCAGCTGTGAAACATTTGTTTGCAAATCTCTTGTATTTGAGCAGATCCGCAGCATGCAACTGAGACCAAGAAACGAGGGATTTAACACACCTGGGAGGAAGATGCATTGAGGACAGATGCCAAGCCTTTAAGACACTTATATGCTAGGTAAGTCCTTTCTTCTCAGGGAACAGCAGACAAATTCCTTCTTCATTTTTGTGGTACTCACACAAGTAACACACAGATCACACCCACGAGCAGTAAGCAGGTGCATGCAAGCAGGCTTCAGTTAACAGGGAAAGGGCATAAGCAGCGGTGCAATCTCTAAGCCAGCATGCTGCCTGGAAAAGTTACTGCAGTCCATGACAAGGAATGTCAAAGAGAAGAGAAGATCCCTGCAAAACAGCTGGACAGTCCCGGCGTGCCATGGGAAGAGCCAGGCCACAGCATATTTAACAAACCATGCCCTAAACTGGCTGCAGCAGAGCAGGTCTGTCACCGAGAGGTTTTAGTAGAGCCAGAAGTGACAGAATAGTTTAAGTAGCAGCATGGAAGAAAAGTTTCTATCTTCAGATGGCAATGCAGTTAACTGCATTTTGTCCCTGCTTTAAATGGAGACCGAATACCTTCACGTAGAGCAGCCCCAATCCTACTGTCTGCATTCACATTAGGCGCCTATAAAATAACAGGAGTTTTTTTCCTAGGTCTCAAGGCTCGGCCCTTCCCTACCCCAGCCTCTGAGCTATGTACCAACGCTTGTAAAATGATCTGCATGTGACACGTGACAGTTGGAGAGCCAGCAATAAAGGGATAAATATTCTTCATCATAATATAAATATGCTGTAGAGTATCTCAACAAGGGCAAAGTGCTTTTTTTTTCCTCAATTAAAATAAAATAGAAACCTAAATAAGACTGTCTCGACCACAACAGAACGTTCAATTCCTAAGACATCTGAATAATCCAAGTTGCTATGAAACTGACAGTAAAGTGACCTAGGCAGAGTGCTCAGTCCTTCGGGACCCTGAAGTTATCCTTCTCTTTTCTGATGGCTCCCATTGTCCGGATAGGGTCCGTCTCCCCGGCGTGCTGCTGAACTGTCTTCTCCCTGCCAGGAGGGAATGCCAGGGACAGAAAATGCAAAGGCTGCAAGATAAAATCTCGGGTATGAAGTCACTACTGCCCCATTTTGCCTGTATCAAGGGGATATGCTCTGTTTAAGATCAAAGACTCAGGGCTTTGGCACTGGCTTATCAGCTCTCTTGGTTGAAACACTCATGGGCAAGAGGAAGTTGCAAACACTTTTATGCCTTGAATGGCATCTTTTACTGCGTCTGTCTGCCCAACCCTGCGTGCTGAAGGAACATCATTACACAATAAAGCTTGTTCTGGCTCCTGAACTCAGGGACTTCAGCACTGGCAGAGATGCTCGCCAAAACCCTTCCAATTTTACTGCAACAACTTTCTGCCAGGACAATGAGTACCGTACCTTACTTATGGAATGCAAATGCTTTAAGGAGAGTCTTGAGGGCATCAAACAGGAATGTGTGAAGCAAGAGAGTAACTCACACTTAAGGCTCTTTGTTCAGAGACCTCATCCCTCCCACACCCCCCTCCACCCCAAGCCAGAGGGCCCGTTCCCACCCCTCCCTACCTCACTCTCATGAAGGGGTTGTACGTGAACTCTTCTGCGATGGTGGAGGGTATGGTTGGCTCGCCGCTGTCGTACTTGGCCTAGAACAAGGGAGAGATTTCTGCCTGATGGGGAATGTTTTGGTGAAAGAGGAACATCCCACCACCATCCCCTCTCCTCTACCTCCTCAGAGAGGCTCTTCCTCCACGAAAGCACACAAGTTTAGGGAAAGGATGAACCAACCTACCTTGGCCCAAGCAAGCTTCTCCTGGATACTTGCATTATTGGGTTCAACGTGCCGAGCAAATTTGAGATTGTTGATAGTGTATTCGTGACCACAGTAAACTCTCTAGGAAGAGAAAGGATGAGTTACACGTGGTAACTCTGAGGGCACAAAGGTGGAGTGCCAAGTACCATCATCAGTGTTATTGTACACAGCAGAAACAAGAGTCAAGCCCCCAGGATACACCGTTCTCTCTACCAGAGACAGATGCAAAGTGCTGGGAGTTACCAGACAACACTAAGTGCAAATTTAACAGTAAGCCTGATGAAAGGACCAGGGCATCCAAGCTCTCCAGCCTTTGTTTCAATAAGCAGACTCTACTTTCCCCACAGAACACAAGCATATTTGGGTACCCATTTCCTTCTCAAAGGACTCCAGCTATTTGAAGACAACTCCTGAAGTAAGTGTGCATTCCTTCAACGTGAGAAATTCTCTCACTGAACACTATTACTGGGAAGATGTTTTTTTTCTGATGTCTGTAGTAGTTTCTGGCTGGTCACCTTACTAGCATAAAAGAAGAGTTCCATACCGTTTCAGGGTCCAGGCTGCCCAAGATCTCAATCAGCGCTCTGTACATTTCCTCTGGGGTTCCCTCGAAGAATTTCCCACAGCCGGCCACGAACAGCGTGTCACCTGCAAGCAAGGCATGATATGGCATCAGACAGAGCTCTTCACACGCAATGTGAACACCCTGAGGGCTCGGTCTTGCCATTGCTGCCCTCTCTGCAGCTCACGCTGCTCTGCCCTCACCAGGAAGGCACAGGGACAGCCAGGCTTTACCGCTGCCCCACACTGGCTCGGTGCTACATAAACCCACACAACAAATGGTTCTCTAACCTAATCTCAGCTTCTGATGCAGGAAATCCCACAGCCTCACCAGGCAAACCATGCCAGAGCTTCCCTACCTGTGTCTGCTGTCCACTCTTGTCCCTTCTACAATAAACACTTGTCCTCTTTACTGTGAGGACAATAAAAAAAAAAAAACAACAACCAGCTCATTTCAGTGAAAAAAGCACTAGAGGTAGGACTCATCCAGGGCTCATTCTTGATTTTGCTTGCAGGGTGTCCAGCAATAGTTTACAGAACTAGAGGAGTTTCACTGGTTTCATTTACAATTACTACTAGGTAGCTTTGTGCGGGGACAAGGTGTGGGAGTTCAATTAGCTGCACTGGTAATAAGGAGCGAATGCACATCCAGAGTCAGGAGCACACAGGCAGAGGGGTAGCTTATTTCTTCGCAACACAGACTGCCGGCGGTGTAACCTCCCAACTCCTCACCTGTAAAAACAGCAGGTGGCTCGGAGCTATTTGGCTTAGTCACATAATAACAGATGTGTCCAGAAGTGTGACACGGCGTACAGAGGCATTTCACATTAAGAGATCCCACCTGAGAAGAAGGCAGAAGACTGGAGCTTAAGCTACTGTTTGGGAGCATTTGTACCATTAGAAAAGAATTGCAACTATTACAATGGCCTAGCAGTCCTACAGGCAAATTCTCACGTAGCTGGTCAGTAAACATCAGCTCTTTTCCTGAGAGAGTCCAGCAAAAGAGTTTTATGGCAAGGACTTGGAAGGGAGCTGTTTCCTCTTAGCAGGTGTTGTTACAAAGAGAACTGCCAGATTCTTTCATTTGCATGCAGAGTGACTCAGCGTCTGGTTGGCAGCAAGGGAAAATAGATCTAGAGCCATACAAAATCCTAAACAAAGTTAATCAAGCGGAAAAAGCTCCAAACAAAAATGAAGCTGAAGGGTAGAAGTGGAAGACGCTCAAGAAAAGGGAGGGATTAAACACATTCATGAGGATGTTTACCCCACAGCCTTAATTTGTGCACCTTCCCATGTTCTTCTGTGCTCCCTTCTTTGCTTCTGACTGCCCCACAAAAGGTGCACTGCAGGAATAGCAGTGACATTCATGCCAGCCTGCAAATTTCATAGCAGTTTATGCAATCTGCCAGCTCATCTATAAACAAACAGCCACGTTTCAACAAGGTTTGCCACTTTAGCTCTGGAAAAGCAACGCAAGGCAGCTAGCCCTGCTGGCCCACTTTCTCTTCACCCTGTGTTTCAGCCTGCATTCAGAGAGCACCGCTTGCATTTCCTCAGTGCTACCCAGGCTCGAAGCAGAACACAAGCCCTGTGCTTTCGCATTTTGGCTCTGACCACCCCAATTAAGAGAGCTGTCAAAGAGCAGACAGACACCCAGCATATCCCAGGCAATACACACGTCTGAGCCATGCCAATGTTACCACGAGAACTCACACCAGCTAACAGGAGCCAGAGGGACTGTGGCTCATAGGGCAGGAAAAGGGGAAAAGACGTAGTTAAGCCATCCACTACTTCCAAGAAATGTTAAAACAGTAAAAAACAAAAAACACCACACCAGTCCACCTCCAAGCTGTGAGATGAATGGGAGATGCCCTCAGCCAAGTCCTGCAGACCACTCCCTTTACCTTGAGCGTTGTCAGGTGAGACACCTTCTGTGTCAGAGCTCCAACTCTGCTGTCCCCGCCGTACACGCGCAGCCCCGTCTCCATCTTAACGAGCTTCTCGTTTCCTCCAGCATGGTCCCTGGAAGGTCAGAACAAGGGATTTTGGTAAGGATGAACACAAATTTATCTTAACTCTTATTGCAACAGTAACCTCCAAGTGATCATTTCTGATCAACTAGTCTCCCCATATCCTGACATCTAACACCGTCCTATCAAAGAGCATGCTACATCAGCACTAGTGGAGATAGTTTCTTTATATGCCAGTTAAGTAAGTGCTGGTGGCTGTAGAGAAGCACATTCAGGAAGGATTTCTAAATACGACCTTGGTCACTGTCTCTCCAACAACCCCCTCAGTTTCACACCTGGTTGGGAAACACCGGCCTCAGAGGATCAGAGTCACCTCTCCAGTAACTGGGGCACTGAGATGACTGGGATAACAGTTATCGATTCAGTGGCTCCACCACGACCCATGGGAGAGGTTATTCAGGTTCAGCACTGCAAAACTGCTAAAGCAAAACATTCATCTCTACGTCCCTGGCAGAGTTAATCTGCAACCCAGGTAATCTTCCCACAGCTGCTGACTAAGTATCGTGCCGCAGAGACATGCCCCAGCAACTCAGCGTTGCACTCCACAGCTACCTGCACGTTTATCCCACTGACCAGCTAAAAGAAGTACAGCATTTTGAAGGTTAAAGGCTCTAACACAGAGAACTCGTAGTCTAAACAATGTGCCTGGTCATAGCAAGAATTACTCATATAAAGTCTGGCTTGACTCCAGGCACAGGAAGACTTTCCCATCTTTGTTGTGCACTCGGCTACTTCGTACTGATTTCTCTGCACTTCACTTCCTCGTGTGCTCACCATGCCTCTGGACCAGGTAAGGACCAGACTGTCCCCCAGAGCAATGCAAACAAACAAACAGCATTTGGGATAGGCCTGGGTGTGCCCAGTCTGCTAGCACCTGGACATCTTCTAGGAGAGATCTTGACACACAACTTCAAAGCAGCCATTTACCAACCTCAGACTGAGGGAGTGTCTTCCTTTGCCTCACTAATTATCTCGCTACTGTGCTTTCAAGTCTGTGCTAATGCTTGATCAGTCGTAGCTCCAAGCTGTCTGGTCAAATAAGAGCAAGGAACAGCCATAGCAACTGTCCCCCACAGGCACACAACGGTGTGCTGATTTGAGCCATCCCCTCTTAGAGACTTCTTACTCCATTTAGCCCTCTCCTATATTGTAAAGGAAGATTTGGGAGGACTGTCTGCTCCAGCTGAGCCACCAACAGTATGAGAAAGCATCACTGCCAAAGCAGTTAAGAAGGAAAGGCAATGACCAAGGCCCAGATGCAAGGATGAACTCTCACCACTGGAACCTTTCCTCTTTGCTCCTGTCCTCACATCTGCACTCTGAATTCAGGCCCAGTGGGACACCCAGGGACCGGTGTCCCTGCACAGTCGGCATCCTGGTGTCCGACAGGCCAAGGGGCACTGCCTGAGCTCTGATCCTCGCCTCACACCTAAGCTCCTGACTAGAGAAATCTGATCCAGAAGAGAGACAATTATTAACTGCTTGTGTTAATGCAGAGGAAAGGGGGATCCCACTACAGCAGATGAAGTTACCAGTGATGGTGTGTGGTCAGGACAGTGGTCAGCTTCACGCCATGCTTTTTGACTGCATCCAAAACCTGCAGAAACAGGCACGAGGAGAGCATTAGAACTCACATAAAGCAACTTAACAGCACACCTGGTACCTGTGTGCAACCACTACAGGGTTTGAGAGCCACACGTGCATGCAATCACCCCAGCAACTTTGCAGAGAGCCCAGCCCTCTTCAGGCAGTCACTACAGATCAGGACACTGAGGTCTCTGATCCAGCCAGGCCACGACTAAACCCTCAGTCCCATTTCCTCTTTTCTGCACAAGAGCAAACACGGGGAAGGAACAAAATCAGGTCAGGAGCTCTCCAAGTCAGGGAGAAGCTGCCTGTGCTCTGAAGCTCAGTGAAGCTTTATCTGCACGCAGGAGAGGCCAGCATTTCCTGCCTTTCCCCAAGCCTGAGTCAGCCCGTGACTAATTCCCTCATGTACGTGGCAGCCTGGAAGCATCTCCCGGAGAAGCAGCCCGCTCCCGGGGGCAGCGGACAGCATTACCTTCTGGGGCTGCACGGGATCAACTATTGCGGCCTCCTTCGTCTCCTCGTCGATGAGGAGGTACATGTAGTTGTCTGTGAGGGCCGGGAGGAGCTCCACCTTCATGTCGGCTTGCGTGACCGTCTTCGACTTCCTCTGCTCGTGCTCTGTGTGCAGGAAGAAAGCTCGCAGCCACACGGGACCTAGGGGAGCCAAAAACAGCCAGACTTCAGGTTAGCCCTGGGAGGGGTAAAAGTAGGACAGCACAGCAGGTCTGTGGGCAAGGAGAAGGGCATGCACAGCCCAACCTGCCTCCTTTAGAGGAGAAGAGGAGAGCAGCCACCACGGGACAAAGCGTTAGTGCCTGGCTGTGTCACCCTGTGCCCTGCAGCATGGGAGGATCTTGGTGCTCTGCAGCTTCTGAGAAAGGGATGGGACTCTGCTCCTAGGGATGTACTCATGCAGGCGAAACGCTGTGCCTTGGTTGGAGAGGTTTCAAGGGGCAGGAAAGCAGAACAGAGAGGGAGCACTTGGGCAAAGGTCAGCCTGAGACAATGACTTTGCAAAAAAAAAAAAAAAAAAGCACAAAATGCCATGTTACAACCAAAAGGAGAAGAAAAAAAAAAAAAAAAAGAAATACAGATACTGCTAGAACAGAAATATCTGGTTCATTAATTGGGGAAATCACTTCTTACGTAGTGCCACGGAGAGAGGGGAGGTTCTCTGCGTGGAAGGCCAGGCTCCCTGCCTGGCAGATACCAGGCATGCACTGCAGGAAGGGTTCTTGCTCACGGACTACCTTGATGCAACAGCAGTGCTTCCCTATTTGCTTTTGGTTAAATGTTTAATCAAATCCAAGTAGAAAATCTGATTCTGGATGCAAATAACCTGGGCTCCTTTTTTCCCCCCCACTCTTTAACTCACAGACGCACAGTTCTTAAAGAAGCAACTGAGTCATAAGAAGCTCTGCCATAAAAAAAGGGAAGGAAAACAAAGACAACGAGGCCTTCCACTGCCAGCAACCCACAGCACAGGCCTGGGTCCATGCGCATGCAGGGTGAGAGACACGAGCCTCTACAAATCACGCATCAGTTGTCCTCAAACCCCAAGGCCCCCACATGCCACTGAAGGTGCCTGCGTTGCTCTGAATCATGCTGGCTCAGCTCCTGGTTCATTTTGCACCACTGCCTCCAGCCCTAATGCTCCGCACTTGGTGCTTGGTAACCTCCATGGGTGCCAAAGGGAGGGGTGATAATTCTCTTATCAGCCTGGCCCACTCTCAGAACAGCTCGGTCCTGATAAGAGGCAGCTTCAGGGAGCAGAGGCCCCGCAGGCTGCCTGCAGCCCACCCGGAGCTCCAGAGGCTGACCCACAGAGTGCTGCAAAGCCAGGACCAAAGCTCCCACTGTGCATGCAGCTGCAAACCCAGCACAGGGGTGGCAGCACCCCTAGGGCCCCTCCAGTACCACTATCCTGCCCAGAACATCTTCCCCTTCTGCATCACTACCTCGCCTGCTTGTACTGGGAAGGAGGCACGGAGGGGAGATGGGGGTAAAATTAAATGCAAAAAAATAATCCCAAGGCACAACAGTGTAGGCATGCTCTGGGTATTTGACACAGAAGGCACGTAGTGTTAAAGAAAGCATCCATACCTGCCAAGTGGTCCTTAGGGGCAGAAAAGTCCTTTTTAAAAAAAAAAAGAGAATAACAAATCCTTACTATTACTTGATAGGAACAAAAAGTAATCGCTCCTCAACTGCTCTAGCATAACATGGAGCACTTTGCCTGTGGATGTAATCAGTCACAAGAGCTACGTTTGCTGTATGTTTGTTTGCAGAGTAGATGCAAACTGGAAAAAAAAAAAAAACAACAAAACAAAACCACAACCCTAGCTTGAACTCAAAGGAATTATTCACATAGTTACAAAGCTTTCTTCCTATGAACCATTTTTAATCTTGGCCATGATCCTCAAGACTCTTTTCATGTTTCACTCAGGATTCGTGCACAACAAACAAACAAACTACACCACACACGGAAATGTTTTCTGAGATGCGATCTAAACAAAGGGACGAGAAAGCGTCCAGGCCACATGAAACTCATTCTGACTCCCATCTGCAGCCGAGCTGCACCTCTCCGGTCTGCCCGTTCAAGGAGCACACCAAAAGCTCTCACGCACACCCAGCACCGCTCGTAGGAGAGCAGCAGGCTCAGCCCCAGCCCTGTTCATGCAATTCCCCAGGCAGTGCCTAGCCCCTGCTCTGCCCCAGCACCTAACCAAATGGGCTCATTTCGAGATCACTGTGATGCACGAAGGGCTCCTCCAAAATTAAGGTCCAATAATTTCATTTTCACTCGTTCTATACCACATCCCTGCTGACTCGATGCCTGAAGCACATGGGAAGCACTGATGGTAACACATGCATGCTCGAGGTTAGGGGCAAGCGGTCAGCAGCACAGGTTAGTAATAGGTTACTGCAGTAAGGGGGTGCTTTATACACTTTCTCCACAGTATTTTGTTTTACTCTTTTTTTAATTACAGCAAAGAGCGGAAAATTCCTCTTTCAGATGTGGCTGTCAGACACGAAAGCGACCGCACATGCATTCCCAGATGTACATCCCTGCATTGCCACATCAGTAGAAACACCACGTTCACTTTTTAATGTGCAGATATTTTTGGACACCGGGCGAGCTCACGTTGGCTGCACACCCCCGGGGAGCAGCAGCTCGCAGGACGCCCACCCGTGCACACCCTGCAAGGGGGAAATTCGGTCTGCCAGCCCCTCGGTTTGCTCGTTCCCAATATAGCATCAGGGTTTCCATGCCTGGCACTAACTCCCAAGGGTTCTTGCTCATAAGGCCAGGTCTTAAAACTGGAGTGATGCAAAAGGCCTCCGGCAAGACCCGCCCGAGACACTGTCAAGCCCCAGCCCAAGCTGCAGTTCAAAGAGACGCTTTCAGAATTTAGGCCGCAAGTTTAAATGCACAGCCCAGTCTTTTTTTATTTTTTTTAACATTATCGATACAATTTCTCATTGTGCTCATGTTAAAATTCCAGCTCCCAGCCCTCTGTTCCCCAGATCCACAACCAGCGCCCGTGGCAGCCCAGGAACTCCAGGAGCCTCCAAGATCAGTTATCAGTAGAAAAGAAAAAAATAAAAAAAATAAAAAAAAATAAAAAAAAAAGCAAACCAACCACCACCAGAGCCAGGCTCCAGCTAAGCAGATACTGACCTACTTGGGGCTGTGAGTCAGCTTAAAAAGCTCTGCGCACCCCTGAGTGGGCAAAGGAGAAGAGAAGCCACCGTCAAACTGCTGCTCCTGGGGGGGGGGAGACCCCCAGATACCCCCGTCCCCCCTCGGGGCCTCAACACCCCCAAAGCCTCCTGCCCAGCCCCGGAGGAGGAACCCCGGAGGAAGGGGACCCCTCGGGTGTCAGGGGACCCCCCCTAAGCAAGGGGGACCCCCGGCCGCCCCCCTCCCAAGGGCAGCCTCCGGCCGCCCCCCAGCTCCGTGCCCGGCGGGGCAGGTGGGCTCCGGCCGAGCCTCCCTCCCCACGTACCGGCTCGGAGCAGGGCCCCAGCTCGCAAGGCGGTGCCGAGGCTCCGCCAGCCCCCGCCGCGCATGGTGCAGGCCCGGCCCGGCCCGGCCCGGTTACCTTCGCTCCCCGCCCCGGGAGGAGGAGGAGGAGGAGGAGGAGGAAGCGGCAGCCCCCAGCGGCCAGCCCCGGTGTACAACGGGGGCGGCGCTGAGCCCGCCCGGCCCCTCTTTGCACACCCGGGCCAGGCCCTTTTTTATTTTTTTTTTCTTTATTTATTTTTATTTTTTTTCCTTTTTTTTTTTTTTTTTTTTTTTTTTTTTTTTTTTTTGCCCAGCCCTGTGAAGGGGCTGGGTGAGGAGGCGGAGGTACGCGGCCTGGCCCTGGGAGGCAGCAGGCAGGGGAAGGAAGGAAGAAACACGGAGCTGGATTTGTGGCTCCCAGCCCGGCAAGGACACCCCAAGGGCACCCCGGGGAAGGAGCCGCCGAGCTCATGGCCTCGTCCCGGCCCTTGTCTCGCTTCTGGGAGTGGGGCAGGAACATCGTCTGCGTGGGGCGCAACTATGCCGAGCACGCCAAGGAGATGGGCAGCGCGCCGCCCGCACAGCCCCTCTTCTTCCTCAAGCCTTCCTCTGCCTACCTGCGGGAGGGATCCCCCATCCTCCGGCCTTACTACTGCGCCAGCCTGCACCATGAAGTGGAGCTGGGGGTGGTGATCGGGAAGAGAGCCCAGGCCGTGACCCAGGAGGCTGCTATGGAGCATGTGGCAGGCTACGCGCTGTGCTTGGACATGACCGCCAGGGACACGCAGGAGGAGTGTAAAAAGAAAGGTTTGCCCTGGACCTTGGCCAAGGCCTTCAACACGTCCTGCCCGGTGAGTGAATTTGTGCCCAAGGAGAAGATCCCGGACCCTCACAAGCTGAAGATCTGGCTGAAGGTGAATGGAAAGCTGAGGCAGGAGGGGGAGACCTCCTCTATGATCTTCTCCATCCCCTACCTGATCAGCTACATCAGCGAAATTGTCACCCTGGAAGAAGGGGATTTGATTCTGACAGGGACTCCCGAAGGAGTTGGGTCTGTGCAAGTAAACGATGAGATAGAGGCTGGGATAACCGACGTCCTGTCCATGCGGTTCAAGGTGGCACAACAAACGCGTCGCTCCTAACCGAGAGCACGGCTGGGATCCCTGTCTGCATAGGAAATGGCTCTTTGGGAGTAACCAGCGAACAAAGAGACACACAAACTGTCCTGCGAATTAAATTTATATGGCCTAAGCATCTACTGGACTCTCAGGTGTCAAGGACACATAGCTTATGAGTTCTAAAGACCTTTGGCCGAAACAACCTCATTTCCACACAGGTTTCAGCCTCCTCTGAGGCTGTACAGCGGAGGCCAGGCCAGGAGTCCAACCCAGCGTGGGGCAGCCGGTTAATACCTAAACGGTACCTTGGAACTTTCTGTGCAGACTGTGCTGGGAGACGAAAACAGGGCAGGAAATGCAGCAGCAAGACTCTGGCTGTGTGTGCAAGCCCTTCTGTTCTAGATATTGACTTAAAATTAAAAAATAAAAAATTAAACATTAAAATGGTGATGTATGGAAAGTGCTCTGGGGTGCTGGTGAGGACTGCAGCTCTCCCTGTGGTACCTGCTTGTTAGTAGGAAGGCTTCCATGTCCTGGCTCCCAGGTCCCCCATATGCTCAGCCTCCTTGCACAGAGGTATTAAAGTAGCAAGAACGTACACAATGAGAAATAAAAGTTTAACCTGAGGTCTGGAATCCACCCAGGGTGTGAAGCTACATGCCCTGGCAGCTGTCAAGGTGGGGTTGTTGCAGCTTGGGGTGCTCCAAGGGCTGGCTCATGGGTGACCAAACAGCGGTCAGAGGTGCCCTGCTCCTGGGTGCTGGGGCCCATCATCACTGGGGAGCTGCAACAGAAAAGAGCTGTGGTGAAACATGGGAAAGCCTGTGGGGAAAGGTGTCTTTGCAAAGCACTGGATATGTTTTCATAATTACAGTGAATAATCTATAAAACCATAGATATCAAGGGGGGTTAAATAATCCCTTTGTAGGCCACCACTTTGAAAGTTACCCTTGGGCATTCTCAAAGCCCAGCTTCACATGTTGTGTGGGGTGGGGGCTCCTTTCAGTGGTTTTATTTCCAAGATCGAGGATTTGGGGTTATAAATAAAAATTAGGAGCTAAGGCCCACCCATCCTATATGAAATCAAAGATGCATATGCAACAGTAAACCAAGAATTACAGCTTCAGAAAGAATCTCTTTCCTCAGAGTATTCTGCAATATAAAGATGTTTGCTTTTCACAGTAGTTTCATGATTCCTCCATGCGTTTTTCAAGTGTACAAATTAAAAGAGGATTGCTTTCCCTCCCACTCCAAGGGGCGTTATGCAGCAGAAGTGTTCCAGATGCCTGGCAGATCTTTTTCTTAAACTAAGCTTTAAATATACTTCTAAAAGTAAAATAATACAAAAGATCAAGAATAAAGAAGCCCATTGGTAAAGATCAGCAGTAAACTTGCCTTAACTTTCACTGATTTAAATGTATTTTATCAAAATCTAACTGCAGCAATTACCATTACTTACATAACACAGTGCAAGTTGAAGGGTTTTTTTAAAAATATTTCCAGCTGTTAAAAAGCCACATCATGTAACTTCTCCTGTTTCCAAACTCCAACTGATCTTACGCTCTCGACCAGTTTACATGACAGTGAGCTCTCTTTCAAATCAAAGGAGTGACAAAACAAGTTATAAAATATTAATAAAAAACCTCTCCCCATGAACATCAGAACTTACCATTTTCAAAGGCTGCACAGTCATCCAATTTCTAAGAAAAACAGATGGATTTTTTTATTTTTTTTTAATAATAGTTGTGAATGCTGAAGTGAAATGCTGAAGCCAGATCTTAATAACTGCTAGAAGTTTTGTTTCAAAATGTACATTCGAAGTTTTACGGAACAAATTATGGCAGCCCAAAGACAAGTATCTCTGTGAAAGAGCAGTGTGGTCCAGTATACTGCCAATCATATGGTAAAAGAAAGCAGAACATGTTGTATAACAAAACATGTATTTTTTTCTATCAATTTCTATTTTGCTTGTCCAGCTGCATGCATCTTAAGCACATCACTGCATGCCCAAACACCACCAGGTACTAATCCTGCCAACACATACACATCTCAATTCTCTGCATTTCAACATCAGCCAATGGCTTAAAGCACGTGTAAAAGTTTTTTATGATGAGACCTTATAATAACTAAATGCTGTGAACATAATTCAGATTTTACGTAAACAACGCTTAAGGAATCAAGGCCAATTGAAATAAACATTCAGCTATTACTTCTGAACAAAACCAGCCTCTGCCTTATAGAAATCAAAATGTTCCTTGAGTCAGTGGGAATGCTGTGCTCTGAATTTTGTTGCAGCTCAATGAAAAGCTGGGCCAAACAGCAAAGTGAGCAAAGCGAGCTGGTCTGAACAGAGAATTTAGGGTGAATAATTCTGATGGAAAAAGGATGGAACTTGCTCTCTTTACTGTTTCCTTTCCTTTGTGCCTGTAAAACATTACTGTCTATGGCAACAGCAACAATGCAGTATTTGTAATTAGGTCTTAAACACTGTGTACCGATTGCAGAGCTGAGTTGTGATTAAAATTATTGGAAGCATTCAACACTTTCCAGATGTAACAGCTAATAGTCTGCAGTTGTTATTGTTGCAACAGCAGAGATGCAGTGACCCAACACATGCAATATTTGTACATTTAAACCTTTGTTCTGACTCACAAAAGTGCAAAGGTGCAATGTGAGTGTACTGATTGTCAAAATTCACTGTTTCTGCTATTGCTTCCTTTCTGCCATAGTGTTTAGACAAAAAATAAAAATATCTGGAGAAGGGCAAAATGTACATACCTGGGTTCTTTCTGTTCAGCTAAAAACTGGGAAGGAAGAATTACTTTCTTTTCTGCCACCTACAGTCTTAACTTGTTTTGTTGATTGTCAGCAGTCCCTGGTAATTATTAGTCTGTTCTAATAAAACTTAGCCTGTCCTAAAGAAAAGCAGCCTTGTAAAAATCTTGGCTATTTCCAACCCCCTGCAGTTGCCGAAAGTTCCGTGTTTAGACTTAACAATGTACACCACAAATGCAGGCAGTACTTGAAAGGGGATAGTCTTTATTTATTTATTTATTTATTGAAACAACACAGAAGTAGCACAAAAGTAGCATAGCAGTTAAACAAAGCACAAGAGATTTGTCTTGTATAATTGTTATTTCTGATTTTTTCAAGTGTTTTCTAAACTGAGTGAAGAAAGCATCTTCTCCCCCCCCACACACACACCAAAGGGATGAATTCAGCAGAACTAACTTTTCTTAGGCTAAGGACTTAGTCTACTTTTCAAAGTACAATCACTAGAAAAAAATATCACCACAGAAGACCACTTAAAACAACTAGTAATGCATATTCCTTTTCTACCATCAGGACATACTCAGCAAAATACTCCAACAATCTTCTACCTCTAATAATATAGTGAGGAAATGGTCTTTTCCCAGCTGTTATCAGTCCACATGGTTTAATCTCTTTCTTTTTCCCAACAAGCTCTGACTTGCCTCTGTAGGGTCTGCCAGTTTGCATGAAAGTATATTCACCTTCAGACCAGTTCTCCAGCTGGGTGACAAAGTGATCTGTAAAAATAATTAAAAACCTTTGTTGTTGTTTGTTTGTTTGTTTGTTTGTTTGTTTTGTTTTTTTCTGATGTATAGTATTTTGATATATATTATTTTCAAATATCATACAGCATCTTTAATTGACATATTTACTTATACACATTTTACATTATTTTAAACATGAATATACAGATTTTATGTTTTGTACTTCTTACTACTGAAGTAAAACACTTTCATTATTTCCTGGAAATAGAAGGAGACAGTGGAGGAGAAGGAAGAGTAAGAACAGTTTTGCTAAGAAGGATAACTTTATAAACAGGGAGTCAATTTAGAGTTGTCCTAAAACAGACAGTTCTATGAAAAAAAAGGAGTCCAGTCCAGTATAAAGCATGAAATAACTAATAATAATGAACATTTCTTCATGAAGAGACATCATCTGATGCTGAAATTATGACAAAAAAACACTTACTT